TATATATATATATATATATATATATAAGATAAAGAAAAATTATTACCACTATTTTTGTCTTATTTTTCCTTTTTTTAGAATTTTGAGAAATTTGTACCAGATATTCGAAAAATATCCGAATAATTATTGCTCTATCGGATATTTAACCGAATAGTAATAGAAAACTGTAAAAATATAAATACTATATATAATTAGGTAAATAATAATTAAGTAAAATACAATTCTCAGTTAATTATATAAATTCATGAAAATTGTTTCTAGAGCAAATGCGCCACTTTGGTTAATAACGTGAAAAATGTTTCATATCCTTTTTTTATGAATAGATGCTATCTATATATATGAATAGATGGTATATATAATTTTAAGACATTTAGTCTATTTTATTCTTTACTAGGATAAATTGTTAATTATCGAACAAGAAATAATCATTAATTAAACATCGAATTGATGTTAAAATCATCGAATTTATATCGATTCGACATCAATTCGATGACTCATTTCTCGCTATGGATAATAGTTACTTTTTAAAAATAAAGTTTTTTAAAAAAATATTTTCTTCGTACGAATACTTTTTGTACTCACTGTACATATATTATTTCAATCAGTGCCTTTGTTTATCGAAGCTTCGCTCGAAATATTTCGCATAGAAAAAACATTTTTTTTTGGTATATTTTCCTTCAGTCGCTGAGTTGCGCGTGACGTTTGAAAAAAGCGGTGTACGTGTTTCTCAGATCTATCCCCACTCAAGAGCGGCCGCACGCCTGTTGGCACCACTTCTCCCTCTCCCTTCGGCGGCCCGCGACGTGCCTGCTATGGCGATGTTTACAGCGTAGTCACGGCAACGGCTCATGTGATCAGTCGGTGGTCCGTCGCGCGCCGGGTAACAGTAGGCGTTCATCGCGGTGTATATCGAATAGGATTGTGTTTCGACTTTCGTTTTGTGTCACGCCGCCGTCGTTCGTTCCGACGGACTACTACTGTTCTGATTCTCTCTCGTTGAACATTGACACAACACACAGCACGACGATCGGACAATTCGAATTCGACGGAGACGCGAATCAGTGGCGCGAATATCCAGAAAAGTCACGCGATCGGACGTGTAGCTGATAAACAGTGATGTTCGGAGTATTATCGTGATTCTTTCCTTTAACGCAGCACTCTGTATGGATTAGAACTTGCAGAACTGACATCTCGACGAAACCTCACGACGGTAACTTCGACATGAAGTGTGTCGCGATAATCGGAGCACCGGCGAGATCTCTCGTCGTGTGTCGTTTCGATTGTTCGTTCGTTCATGCGGATAAGTGACGTAGAACTGGCAGAACGTGATCGGCGCGCGCGTCCTCCGAATCGATCAAAATCCGGTAAAATAATGTGCCGCGTGAACGGCATCGGTGATCATTCGCGAGTATGATTGACGGACGATCGAGGAGTTCTAGAATTTGAGTGTCGTAAAAGAGAGAAAAGGAAAAAAAAAAGGGTGTTTTGCGCAGTGACGTAAAGTTTGCGGGGGAAGCGAAAGGACGCCTTGTGAACGACGTGAAGTTCGCGGGGGAAGTTCGAGCAGTAATCACGTGATCGCGTATCTGCGGTGGGAAAAAGCGGAGAAAATTCGCGGCGTGTTATGGTCCGCGTGTTTTCCTTCGCAGGACGAAATGAGGACGGCGACGCAGCAGCGTGGTCGTCGATGAACCCTAAGGACAAATGTGTGGATCCCGCGGTGGTGGAACAAGGCTCGTGGCTCTGTAAGCCCGCTAGCAGCAGCCCCCAAGCTTGTACGCCGCTTGCCGTCGGCGCGGGTATGATGCCACGAGGTCTGCCGACGAGACGTGGCCTGCAGGCGTTAGCGCTCGTCATCGCTACCGCATATGCCACGATTCTCCTCTACCAGGCTATAGCACCGCGTCAGGTAATTAGAACGATCATTATCGTCGTTGCTGAACAGGGTGTTAGTTAAGTATGTTGCCATATTCAACAGAGTGATTTGGTTTATTTCCAGTAAAAAAGTCCATATAAATGTGTCCTAAACGGCTTAGTTCCCGAAATAAAAAAATGTAAATGTGTAGTAATAATCTGTTTATTTTTGAAAGAAATATAGCTTGAACTAGTCAAAAACAGAAAAACAAAAACAGGTTTCAGTGCTTCTGATAAAATGAAACAATTAGATAAATTGTGGAAAATGTCCACCTTGCGCCTTACATCCATCGAGCCTTCTTCTCAAAGATTGACGTACGCGCTCAAAGATATCAAGTGTGTTACGTATTGCCTCGCATGAAGCAACTATTCGATTCCTCAAATCATTCTCATTCTCAATTGGGGTGATATAAACCAATGATTTCAGATGCCCCCAAAGGAAATAATCCAAAGGATTTAAGTCTGGTGATCTAGGAGACTTTGACTTTGACTTTGATTTTGTCACTTTATTTACGGTTGTGCGAATGATAACTCACGTGAAGTAAGGCATATTTATGCAGGAAGATATCTCCAACGCAATTTACCGTTTCGTCAAACATTTGCGAACATTCACCTGTATTTTCGAAACTAAGCCGTTTAGGACACATATTTATATGGACTTTTTTACTTGAATAAATTAAAGAATCGCTCTGTTGAGTATGGCAACGTACTTAACTAATACCCTGTATAACGTTGTGGAATCGTCCATATTGCTGACATCAGTTCTATAACGCCTGCGGGCCTATTCTGCAATGTGCTCTTTGTTTCCTGTTTCTTGTTTTTTACATTTTGCTTTTTTCTCCTTTGCAACTGTTTTATCAACAATTGTATTTTTTACTACGTATTTCTTGTTTCTTTCGAAGTTTATTAACTTTTATCTCGGGCGATATAAAATAAAAAACCGGATAAGAAGCAAAAAGACAAGATGTAAAAAATAACAAAAGGTAAGAAATAGAAAACAAAAAGCATTGTAGGACAGGCTTAACTCTTAACGCAAATTTCGTTGTCATAACGCTGTTGCGCAGCTTTTTCCTCATAGTAAAAAAGCTGCGCAGTGACGTTATAATGATAATGAAATTTGTGTTAAGTTACAGAATAGATCTGTTGTACTCCGATTCTGTAAAGCTCGTGTCACACTACGAATTGGACACTGAGGATTGTGAATTAGAGATTAGAATTCGATCAGATAATTTTAATTTTATTCCGTTTTGTTCTGATTAGCTGAATTCTATTGTTTAATTCGCAATTCTCAATCTTCAATACGTAGTGTGACACGGACTTAAGGACTGTCGCACACTTTTCGTAGAGACAGTTTGGTATCGTTGTCGTTGCATAGCTTTTTTTATCAGATAAGTTGAGGAAACAATATGGAAATCCTGAAAAATTTCGAAAATATTGTATAAATTTTATAGAAAAGTATTTTGGATAAAAGGTTCGTTTAAAAAGATTTTTTCACTCTTGGATAGCATTAAATTGATAAGATCAATAAATAGATTTTTTATTTTTTTAAGTCCTGCAACTTTTATCATAAAAAAAAAACACTTTTCTATAAAACTTATATTTTCCGAGATTTTTCAGGGTTTTCATAATTTTTTCTTATTCTGTATAAGAAGAATAACTGTTCTTATTACTGTGTTTGCCTTGGGAGTTTTCTCTTAATGTGCCTTTGTATTTAAATGAATCATAAAGAATTCTAGCATCAATAAATAAGGAAAAGTATTTTTTTTTATTGAGTTAAATTATTAATGCGCACGATATCGAAGATAATATTCTATTTTTTAACTATTAAAGTATGGCAAATATTTTTCGAAAGATATGAGGAATTTATGTGAGTCTAATAATACCGCAAGATTTTATTAAGCTTATTCCTATAGTGTTCTGTATTGTGTTATGAGTATACATTTGAAATTGTAAGTATTATATAATTAAAATAATGATTTATGCAATATTAACTTAAATAATTAGCTTACATCTATTACCTATTTTAGTAACTGTATGTCAGAATGAGTCAAATGTGGATAGGCACATACATTGGGAGCACATTAATAGAGCTATCGTATCTTGGAAGACATATACTAATAGAGACAAGAACATTTTATTTTTTCAAAAACGTGAAACATTAACATATTTTTAAATTTAAAAAATATCATAAGAAAAAGAAATAATTGAAAAATGGTATATTGATTCCAAGCAAATAAAATTAAAGCTACAATATTTAATAATTAATTCAGTAATGAACATGTTAGTTTAAAGGCACATTAAAGGATACACTATATCACTATCACAATTGGAATAATTATTCTATAATATCTGCGCACGACATATAACGATATCGACATTGTTGTTAAGAATTACAGAATCAGGGTACTAGGCTGTGTTCAGAAATTTTACTCGAATACACTCAGGTATCATTTTGTTTAACATTCGATAAGCATCAAGGATAAAATGATACCTGTGTGCATCTGGTGACATTTCTGAATACGGTCTTGTGTTTGTCTATCGGCGAGATCATTTGAATCCGACTAACAATAATACACGTTAATGTATGTGGCATTAAAACATACATTCCGCTATTATTGTTGTATATTTGTACTTATTCTTGTATTTTTGTCTAACTCAGGTTGTGTGTCGAAATTAAATAGATAATAAAAAAGTATGAAACTTAATTTGGATAATTCTAACATAAAAAAGCTTGTATAAATAATGGCACTCTCTTTTTCTAATATAATGTATAATTTGAAAGAATAGGCTTGGTTTTTTAACTGAATTTTTTGTACTGTTTATCTTTTCTTTTTTTTCCAATATACAGAGATAAACTAACTCAAAGGAAATGTTGAATGTGCAAGAAGTTTAATCGAAAAGAATAAACTTATGATTAAGATCACAAAAAATTATCAAAATATTGCAGAATTAATTGAGGGGATGAGCGAAATAAAGACACAATTCTACTTAAGTTCTTTTTCCGGAGATTATATAATATTTTTTTATATAATATATAGATCATAATAGAGAAGTACTATAACATGTGTAACTTTTTAAAAACATTACATAAATTCATTTATTTGATACTGTACACATTTGTGTATAATAAACAAGTAGCAAGTCATTTTAATTTTTATTAAAACCAAGATTTTGTAATTAGGTCTTTATTCCGCCCTCAATTGTGGAGTGCACTGTAAATATGAGCTATGCTCTTTTCACATTCAAAAACAAGTTTATTTGTCGCCAGTGCTTCGATTCTGTAATGAGTTTTCTATAATAAATCGTTAGTCACCACTCATGCAGTAATAAATTAGAATTATAAGTCATAAATTTTATGAAACTTACATCCAGAATAAATCATATCAGATCATTATGTCACAATATTTCAGCTAGTCAGAAGAGTGGTAATTCTCAGAGAAAATAGCAATACACTATATAATTGGTCAGTTCTAACGTAATTTAAATTATAAATAGTAAGAAATCAGATTTGGCCATCTTTATGCAATCACTGATTTATTGTTGTCTTATTACACACTATTAACTCGTTTATAACTCGCTCCCGACTTCTGATCTTTTACTAACAGCTTATTATTGTAAAAAGCTCATAACTTCTAACGATTCGATATCGTTACATTGTCGTTGCGTTGGTTTTTTATCATATCGTTAAGAATCGGGGTACAAAAAAAAATAAATTTATCTCTGCGCGTAACTGTGAAAGAACCTAGCTCGTATTTAATGCATTCCATTTAATTTAATTTATTCTATAATGATGTAGATATTATGATAGTTTTTCTTTTCAGCTAAACTTCTTGCACGATTTATCTCTTTCTTTTTTTTCTCTTCATGAAAAAAAAGAAAAGATAAACGGTGCAAGAAGTCCAACTAAAAAAAATACAGGCTTATTCTTTTAAGTTATAAGTATTAAAAAAGAGAAAATGCAGTTTTATGATAAGATCAAGAGTGTATTAGAAATATGCACGCGATGCATTGTACCTAGCTGATTCGTCTTTAGGTAGTTGGAACCAAGCATCACAGAAACAGTACTCGATGTTTATTCCGATTGTTCTTTTTATTATTACAATAACATTTATACTTTAGCAAAGATTTTCACTATGACATAGGAGCATAGGTTATTTCATGTTAAATACCTTGGGTATCTCATATTACGATTTCCACACTTCACAGTTTTACGATCATCAAATCTAACTTCTATAATTAAGCAATTCAATATATCAATGTATTTTTCTATTCTTAGTACGATCTTACTCTATCACTATATGAAGAATTTATTGCCAAATATTTACTTATTAAATAATAAACAAGGTTTAAAAGCTTATCTCAACAAAACTTGAAGACATTCAAATTCTAAAATCTTTTTTACAACGACTACAGGCACGATCTAATAATAAATTTTCCACTAAATAGTTTTCAATCTAAGAATAATAAATTCATGGTGGAACCAATAGGTAGCATTTATTAGTTTAGCGGAAACGCCGCTGTCTCATATTAGGCGCCTATCTTATAATAGGGGGCTTTCCTCTAATAAAATCACATTCTTCAATTAATATTAAATAGATTTCTCTCTCTCTCTCTCTCACTTGTACAGAGTTTGGAAATTAAAATTAAAAGAAGTGAAAATATTTAATGTTAGTAATAAATACATTTTATAGAAAAATAGTTTTTTTGGTACGTTTATAGAAAAAATTCCAAATTAATCACAAATTAAACTTTAATACGGAACAAAATTATTTTTAAAGTATTGTATATTACATATCTCTCACAAAAAAAATTGCTCCGGTAACGTGGAATATTGTGATTATGATATCGTCTACGAAAATAATTGCTTATCAAAAAAAATATTTTTCAATATTTCCTCAATGACTTTTAGCGAGGAAAGCTCACTGCAAGAATCTCAAGAGAAATTTTTTTCTTTTTTCTTAATGATATGTTCTGATAATTGTATGTCGCAGTGGGTCGACGAGATGAACGTGGCGGAAGTGAATAGCCGAAATGTGATAGTGGAAGTGCCGGCGTCGAGAAAGTTAATCAGCGAGGAGCTGCCGGTGACGTTGCCGGTGGCAACGGCGACTATGGCACCGTTCACGACGAATCTCAACGACGTGTTTATCAGCGTGAAGACCACCAGGCACTATCATCACTCGCGTTTGCCGGCCATCATCGATACGTGGTTCCAGTTCGCCAGAAATCAGGTAAGCTTCTTTTATTCCGTACAGATCGCCGTGAAATGCCAATATTCCGGATTCATTAGCGTCGCTCGATCACCTCGTTTCTTGCGCTCCCACCTTGCGACAACCTCGTTACAAATATAGCACGATCACCTAAAAACACTGAAGCTTCCTGAGAATTGTTCAATAATTGGGATATTTTTTGATATATGATCACTTATTCGATTTGTAACAATACTAACAATGTATTAACTTTATTTTTACTTTGCATAAATTCTACTTCCTTTATAAGAGCAGTTACATATATTTTAATATTTTTGATAAAATTATGTGTATTAGAATTATTCAGATAAAGTTTAATTTTTTTATTATTTAATCTTTTTTATAATTTAACTATCAATTTCAGTAACCTTAGTAACCTAGAAAATTGATGACGTGAATATTTACAAGAGTATTTCTAGCATTTCAAACATCGACAATATGATTTATGATTTTTATTTCATAGATTATAGCATTATAGTATATTATAGGAAATATACGAAAAGATTTAAGATAGCTCTTGAATAAGTTCAACAAAATCGTGAACTTTGAGCTATTGGAGTTTATTAATTAATAATATGTATGTAATTAAATGCCACTTTTCGTTGAAACAATAATATTTGGTTATTATTGAACATAATGGTTTGAAGAGTTCCTCAAGATTGTTTCAAGAATCTTATTGTACAAGAAAACATATTGGATTCTTTTTAATATATAAATAAATATGTAAAAAATAAGAATACATAATTCCATATATACCTATATATATGTAATTATTTAATTTAAATCTGAATACGAATATGCGATTGCGTAATAGGTTTTAAATATTTTATATATTTTTTTTGTAGGGTAGAGAGCGAGACTATTCTGTCAGTTTCAACTTAATTTATAATAGCAAACAATATCTCTTTGCAGTGACGTGCTTATAATTATACGAGTATTATACAATCATGATTACTCCTTGAGAGCACAATCTTTAATTAACATATTCTGTTCAAAAAAATATTATCACGAGAAATGGACGAAAAAGCTCTGCTTTATTTTATTTATATTTACAGTTTAATAAGTGAAAATAATAATATCGGTTTTATTTGGTGTAACAATTTCAATGTTCAATTAGGATAGGTTTTACATGGATATAATATTTTTTATCATAAAAATAATATATCATGGCATTTTTAAAAATGATTTTTGTAGAGTTTGTTATTATTTGATTTGTTTGTTATTAATTGTGAAGAAATCAGAGAACTATTATTCGTAAAAATTATTTTCGAGAAGTATTATTCGTTATTTGATTCGTTTGCCATTATTTGTGAAGAGACCGGAGAACTTGGATAAGAATTAATCGTGTTAAAGTGTGATAAATGTACGCATAGTCTTATCGCAACGTCTCCATCATCGCGAGATTCATCTGCATGCCTTCTTGTGGAATGGAATAGACCACACTTTGTATACGACTCGTTGAGCTTTATCCAAGGGTATCGAAGCGTATTCGCGCGTATTTACCGTAGACCGTGTCGCCGATGATCAGCGTGAATTCACGATTTCTCGCGCTGTGGGAATGAGATTTGTTCCACTCTTCCTTCCCTACAATTTCTCATTTGCCTTTTCGTAAATATCGCGATACCATCCGTGCCCTTTGAAAACAAAGGGCGATATTCCACGTCTCGAATATTTATCGTGATATTATTGCTGCACAATTTAATTAATTAAATTTTTTTAAATTATAATAGGTAAATCTTTCGAGAAATCTTTTTTTCAATACATAATTATGATATTTTCACTGGTAATTAAATAATGCATCGTATTCAAATTTAAATTAAATTATTGTGTGTATGTACACATAATTATACATTTTTATTTTTACATACTTATTTTATATGGAAAAAAAATCAAATGTTTTCTATTACTTTTAAGAATCAATTGAGCAATGAACAAGTATTTTTTGGTAATTAATACTAATAAAGGAACCTTGAGAGAAATTCTCATATACACTGGTATTCTTACGTCGGATAAAGAAATACTCTTGCATCTCTCAGCGGCTTCCGCGTCCTTCTGCACTTTGCCAGGTTAATATACCGTTCCTCCAGGTAATTACTACCTGGATTTTGTACGAGTTCTCGCGTTTCCTGTAATTTCGGTTGATTTCCTTTACTCTGTTCAGGGAACGGAACTTTAGTGAATTCAGTCATGGATACATTATCATGTTGTTTATTGATATCTTGATTTGATTTCTCATTTAAAAAATTTTTGGTTTTACATTCATATTTTTATTTATTTAATTTCTAACTTTGGCAATTAGATATTTATAAGTATTCCTTCAAGTTTTAATTTTGAATAGTAATTATGTGTTGTGTCTTTTTTATATTATAATTTTCAAAATTTCTCTTTGTTTTATTAATTTGATTTGATTAACTTATAATTAATAACAATTAATTTATTGAAACAGTAATAATTAATAATAATGACAAAAAAATTTTGCACTCAATATTTCTATACTCAAAATGGCTTTAAGATACAAAAATTAAAATACGTTAATATAAAATAAATAAATGTCATTTAAGATATTCATTATTTATTCGGTTTTAAATATCTCCCAAATCTATTTATATACTAATTCAGATCTGTTCAATTTGAACTTTGAA